GGAAATTTACTTTTTTTAAAGTAAATCTTCCTTTAATCTCAGAATAAGTAATTTCGTGATTCCAACTTTAATTTATTTTAAAACAACAATATACTTACATGTTATAAGTAAAAATTTTAAGCTTAGCCTAACATACTTATAGTTGGATGGAAAAACTGAAGGGAAAGGATAAATGCATCATTTTTATTCATTTTAGCATTTTGATTTACATCAACAATATTTAGAGGAGAAATGCATCTATGAAGTGTAAAATTGAGTATCTCTTCTCATGACAAAAACTCGACGTTCAATATCGATAAGTTGTGTCCCACCTGACCAGAAATCCTGGCTCCGCCCCTAACTGTCTACTGGACAGTCGTTGCATTCTTCGACCTCTACTTCTGATACTTTCATTTCTTCTGTTTTTTCTTCGACCTGACTCATCTTTTCAGATCTCAAAGATTTCAAGGTTTTTCCGTTTATAACAAAATTTCATGGTTTACTTTGTGCAAATTTCCCATGGACGACACCAATTTGTTGACGGTAAAATCAGATCAACAAATTTTCTCACATAGTTAGATTTTCACCTTCTAAACTCATTAGTTTTGATACTCAAACTTGGAGCAAGAGGGAAAATGACTACTTGGGATGGAGGTATTTGAATTACTTGTTTTTTCCTTAAAAATGGGGATATTTATAATTTCTCTCCAAACTTTGGGGTAATTAGATTATTTAGAAAAAACGATACATGGTTGCCTCTTATTGGCTAGCTTGTCACTGATTATGTTAAGAGCATCATATTTTATTCATTAGCTCACGTGTATTTTATTAACAACCTGCAACTAGCCTGGATGGGGGTAGGTTTACCTACTTTGGGCGAAACTTTTACATCTTTTGTCCCTCGCGAATTGCCTTGTGCTTCCCTATCAATTGGCAAGTTTTACGGATTATATTTCGGGGTTTAACAAATCCTATTCCTAAATTGAATATAAAAATTACACAAGTATGAAAAAAACTTATGCATATTGTCATCGCAATATAAAAAATATAACACGAAAAGTAATATATAGAAAAATATAATTTTTAATATAATACTGCTATTAACGGATGTAATATCAATCAGATTTGAGCATTAACTCATAAAATGTCGAATGCAAAATATAGAGTAAAAAAAAGGATAAACTAATCAAAAGAATTATCGATGGAACGAAAAGCTTTCACATTATATTCTTAAGCAACTAATTGAGAATAATATATTATTTGAGATTTATCAAATGAGCGATATTTTTTTTTTTTTTTGGTTATTCACTAAGAAAAGGGAGAAAGGGGAAGGTCATTTACTTAAGAATGACTCGGTACATTAAATGAAAATAAAATATTTTTGGATAAAAAGATCAATAACTAGCTGCAAAGAAGTTACATAATAAACTTTATCTGTCATATAATGAGCCTTTCACGCCCTGCGACTACGTTAAGTAATAAGAATTGAAACTAACATTCGACAAATAAATTAATTTTGAATTGACAACTACTGATAAATACAAAATGGAAGCTTGATCTTAGGCCGTGTTTGATAGGCCACATTTTTCAGGGAAGTAGGAAAATATTTTCGACTTTCCATTTTTTTGGCCGTTTGATAGGCGAAATTTTCCAC